ACTGCTACTGTTTACCCCACAAAATCATTGTCCCTACTTCCTTTTCATTTGTTGCAATGATTGTTTGGCATTGATTGGTTTATTTATTTTGCTTTTGTTTTTGCCTCTGGTACTGTGTTCATGTCCTTGCTTGCTAGTTCCCTTTTTGGGGTTTTCAAAGGTGTAGCTTTGATGGTTTTCAATGCCACTGCTAGTGCATCTTCTTCTTATTTCTTGTCAAACGTTAAATACTGCACCATCATCACCCTCTTCACCAACCCACTTTGCTCGCTGCATTTTTTGTACAAGAGCTCCACGCTTCTTTGATCGATTTGCTTCGAGTTAGCTCAAAAAACTTAAACTGCAATGCTTCTAATTCTACTTTGAAAGATTGGAAAGAAATGAGCAAGTTTCTTGGCGGTTGGCCCCCAATTCTGGAACTAATTATCTGGGATTAGTTCACTGCTCAAAAACAATATGGTAGTAATAAACGAGCAATAAAGTGCAATAGACGAGCAATAAACATGCAATACAAAAACAATACGGTAGCAATAAACGAGCAATAAAGTGACAATAGACGAGCAATAAAAAAGCAATAAAAATACAATAAACAAATTGTGGGCTTTTCTTTTTCTTGTGCAATTTGAAAAGAAAAGGGGAAAGAAACAGAAATTGTCAAGATAAAACTGCAAAAAGAAACAGAAAGTGATTATATCAGACATTTCCCCTTACAAAATTCTATACTGATAATGATAGCCACCCCAAGCTAAGGACGGCTCGGCATAAATTAATACAACTTCAGTCAGACTATGGCATTATACATATCCCTTGAAATACAATATACAAATTGCTGGCTCAAATAAGAGTAACAAAATTTTGATTCCAAATCCAGCATTTCAGTACAAATTGATGACTATAATGTCTGCGTCCATCTTGAAGATGAAATTCTTTCCACCATCTTGGAGGCCTGACATAATGCTCTTTGATAGTCACCCACCCTTCTTTAAAAAAGTTCGTCTTTCCTCTGCAAGAAAAAAAGAAAACAGAAAAACCAAGATCAAGATCAATTGTCCTCCAAAAATATAGCTTAATTCTGCAGAAGATACTAGAGATGATTTGAGGCCATTAATACTCAAGGGCTGTCCTTCAAGCTTAAGTAATTCATCATGCATCCATAATGAAGCTAAGGGAACTCCTGAGCATCTTCTTGTCTGAAAAAACAAAAATAGTTTCAATAGGCAAAAATAGTATCAAATTTTGGACAAGCTAGGTAAATACATCTCAGATATTAAAGATTGTAAGAATAAAAGAATCCTGTACACATACACCCATACCTTGAATTAACAATGCTGGACTTCCATCCCTTGGATTTGAGGTTTTATCTACAATGACAAAAGTGGCCCCATTTTGGATCTATCCAAATTAACAATGAAGAAGAGTGAAATGCAAAACATGATATGATTCATCAAACTCTCAAAACTAGGTCAAAACATAATCAGGGTAAACGCCATAAGAAAGGCCATGACTGAAAAGGCACTGACCCAATATCCTTTTTCTTTTTTCTTGATGTACCAATAGTACTTTTAGAAGGAAATAAATAAAACATATTCTTCCACTAACATATATATACATGCCCACTAATTTTTATTTGGCCAAGGAATCCAGGTTCTTACACCCTACAAATAGCTTAGGTAAAGATCAACCTATTTATTAAATGTCCATAGCCTCAAATTCACTGAGCTTCACATGGATATACAATGCCTCTTCTATAGATTACTATTTTCCAATGACTTGACAACTTTTGCTCATCTTGTATCTTCTTTAATTACGAGGAAACTAAACCAAAAAAAGGTGAGAAAATATCATGAAAAGAAAGTTATTAGATACTCAGAAACCATTAAAGATTCTACTCAAATATAAAATCTCTATAACACGTTTATCCAAAAATCTCTATGACTCTTGTTTAATTCAATTGCAAGACCAAGCAGATTGTTATTACTCTTCACCACCACAGAGGAAAAAAAAAAAGTAAAATATAAACATTCACAAATTACCTCATCAACTGCATTGTCAAGTAGATCTGCTTTGGCTGAAAACAAGAATAAAAAAAGGAATGTACTGTCCTTGTCAAAAAGGAAAAAAGCACAACATACATAAAGTTGAATTCATTAATATATACATAAAGAAGAATGAAGTAAGATTGAATTTACCACAAAAGGCCCATTTATGTGAAGTGGCATTTGAATGAAGGAACATTGGGTGGACATGTAGATAGTTTTTGCCATCTGTGATCCAAAAAGAGGAATGTCATAGAACATACCATGCATAAACAATATTAGATGCAGAAGATTGCAAATATTGCATTGTATATGAAAAACCTTATCATCAAAACAAAAGTGATCACCAGAAAAATCATGAAAACTCGTGAAAGAGCCTCAACAGAATTAGTTGGCCTACTAATCAGACAATATATGCTTTAACCACCAATATTAGTAAAATTCCAGATGCACTACACTCAAGTACAAAATATAACAGTAGATAGTAGAATACTTTGAATTGTGACTTTAGAACCAATGCCATCATTGTAGTTCCCAGCTTTCCAAAACTGCCGACAAAGTGGTGCTGGAGATAAAGGCGATGTATAAGAAAGGCCAGTATCATCCACTGGTGACTGCCCTTGGTCTAATATACTAGAGCTACTGTGACCAGTACTTAGAGCATTTGAGCTCCTATTTTCTTCAGGTTCTCGTATTGCACATGGGATCTTTGACTTTTGATGCTTCGCAAGTAGAGCCTTATTGTTCTCATTCTGTTGCAATTTTCTTGCAACGAGACCTGGCTCCAACTTAACAGGTTTCACATCAACCTCTCCAAGTTCATCATCGCTAGATAAATCTACAATGTCTGTTAAGGTCATCCTGCACATTAAAACAGAAATTAAACATGCATGCAACCAGGTAAGCATTTTAAATAAACAATGGGCACAACTCCTACAACACCATAACATCAAAAAGCAAGCAGGACATGAAAATTCAAATTCAAAAACCCAAGACATTGACAGATCAACAAAGACTAAATGAAGTCTTTTTCATAAGGTGTTTTACTCAATGGAGAAGCAACAAGTCAAAATTACACCAAACTCAATCATGTAACCTGATCTTCTTTTGGTAAGAAAATGAAATTTTATTAAAGAAAGAAAAAAAAAACGATTACAAAAACAAATGGACAATAGATCCTTCAGAAACAAATTTAAGCTAATAACATCCCAAGAGAAACAAGAAAACAAGCACAAGAAGCCTACAAGGCCAAACATAACCACACCCTTAAATACCACTTTATACAATGTGAATTTGCTATTAAGCAATTCAGGTGAATAAAAGGTTTGGGAGTTTTAGTTGAAAAGCAAAAGACTGTTTCATGAAAT